GCCCTACATGTAAATAAATGAGAAATAGTTAATATGCCATTTCTATGTTAAGTAAAGAAATGGTAGCTTCTATTTTTTATTGTCATAAGTACATCTTTGCTAGAAGAATACTCTGCTTTCTGTAAAATAATTCAAAAGTTCAGAAAATTGTAGTTAATGTTGTAGTTAAAAGCTGCATTTTTTTCAAGTTGTAGAATGTACAAGAGAATTTACGGTGGCACTTATCAAAATTATAGTGTCTGCTCTCTCACCCCAGTGCAGATAAGGAGATTGTCAGTATGGGTATTGCTGCCTCCAATAATGGAAAAAAAGGGCTTTGGTAGGAGAACATTATTTAGGCAGTTATGGTTTGCTAAAAGTAATGCAGACAGAAGACATATGTAGCTTACATTCTTGTCAAGTTGTTTTCTATTTCATGAGCCAGCAATAGGCTACAAATTGAAGGAACAGCCAAAAAGTCAAGTAAGTGATTCTACTTCATAAATCTGATTTGTTGCTACTTGCTTAGTTTCTCAGCATTTTTTGTGTATCAATTAGGGCAGTATGCGAATGCTAGCCATATCTAGAGACCATCTAAACTTACAACGATAGAAATATTTTTTTCAAAGTAAATAACTTCAATATTTTTGTGTTGAAATTTCAGGTATATTATAATTGCTCATGTATTGAAAGGAAAGTGGAAATCATAGCAACTGCAGGAAATACTTATTTTGAAGCTAAAGCTGGAAAATGTGAAACTCATTGTGCAAACTTGCCCATATTTCTTGGCATTTTCTTCATTACGGTTATTTTTACTTTTATGGCAGGCACTCCTATAACTGTGTCTATATTAAGGTAAGCATTACATTGTGAAATTTGCATTTTCTGCAGGATCATGTTTGGAAACAAAGATGGACTTAGGAGTTCAGTTAGGCTTTTGTTGACCTTGGATTTCATTTGAAGTCATCCCTAATGAACCATGAATTCTGTAAGACTGGAAAAGGTACCTCTTTGAAGCCCAGATGCATGAGGTTTAAATAAGCTAGCATGTATGCAAGAGTCTTAATGTTGCCCACCTAGCATGTGTTTGGCATTAATATCTCTGCTGGCTTCATAAAGTTCCAGTGTGAGCTTGAGATATGTTCAGCTATCTCTGAATGTTGTGGTATAATTGGAATGCCCTGAACTGTGCATTAAGCAGTAGACTGGCATTGACCTACCTCTAGTAAGATGCTGGCTATCACCTGGGTGTTTGATGGCTGGTATCTTGCGCTATTCGTTCTTCTTCCTTCAGGCTGCTCTTTGGTGTTTCTAATTGCCCTCACCAGCCTTTCCATAGCTTTCTCCATAAACACTAGACTTTTTCTTTCTCAGTACTTTGCTTCTTAATGTTCATTCATGACTTTTCCCCCCAATTAATGGGAATTTTATGCATTCTAAATTGCATTAAACTGCATTACACTACCAAGGAATGACAGGTATTTGTAAAGAGAAAAATACTTTAAAACATATTTTTTTGAAATTTATGTAACTCAGTTTTCCACAGTCTACTTGGTTTTTATTTCAGATTTTTGTTGCTTTGTGTGTTTTAGCAGGATTTCACTGTGTAGCTGAGGCTGGCATCAAACCCCAGGCAGCCTCCTTCCTTAGCCTTCCTAGCACCCCCACTACAGATTTGCCCCACCCTGCCTCACTTATTTTCTTGTTTAAAAGGCTTAGTTACTGCTTTTACTTTCACTTGGCTCTCTTTGAAGACTGATGTCATTCCTCATCCATTACCAAGCAGTCATTAAAGAATTTTTACTAGTCATTAAAGAATCATGAATATTATTGTGTTCTAAAACGATTTTTAATTGCCTCAGTTTTGCACCTACACCCAATATGTATGATTTCAGTGTCAAAGCTAGTAGCAGTTAGAATATTTAAATTTTAATTTAATACTAAAAAAAATAAGATCATTTAGCTGAGTGCAGTGGTATATGCCTTTAATCCTGGCTGGATTTTTGTCTTTTTGAGACAGGGTCTCCCTGTAGCCCCAGCTGTCCTGGAACTCACTATGTAGACCAGGCTGGCCTTGAACTCACAGAGATCTGCCTGCCTCAGCCTCCCACTTGCTGGGATTAAAGGCATGCGCCACCACGCCCAGTGAAAAAGTAATTTTTATAAATGCTAGTTTAATTGTTTTCCAGTGTACTAAGACAACTAGCATATAAAATTTGTATGTATTTAAAGTATACCATCCAATGTATTGAAATACATATATAGTATGTTTACCACAAGCTAATGTACATATCCATCATTTCACATAGTCATTTTGTGAGTGAGTGTGTGTGTGTGTGTGTGTGTGTGTGTGTGTGTGTGTGTGAAGTCTCAACATGTACTCTCTTGGTAAATTTCAGGCAGAAAATTCAGAGTTTATTTGGGGGGGGGGATGCACCTGAGGGTTAGGGTTTCATCAGACCATTTTAGGATTTGTTATGTAGTTGACACTGTTCTTAAACTCCTGGTTTTATGTCCATACCTATAGGATTATTCACTACAGTCTCAATACTGAACATTCCATCTCCAGAACTTAACCTGCATACTCAAAATTTTGCACCTTTTTTTCTTTGTCAGAACTAATATTTTTTCTTACCCTTGGCCTCTTGCAGACACCACTCTACTCTTCTACTTCTTAAATTGCTTTTTTTTTCAATTTGTGTGTGTGTGTGTGCATGTGTGTGTGTGTGTGTGTGTGTGTGCAGACATGTGTACACAGGGTCAGTGGTGCACACCTCCACCACAGCTTTCATGTGGAGGTCAGAGGACAACTTGCAGGTGCCAGTTCTCTCCTTCTACCATGTGTATCCCAGGGATTGAACTCAGTTCATCAGACTTGGCACCAAGCACCTTTACCTGCTGAGCCATCACACCAGCCTTCCCTCCACCCTCTACTTTTAAATGAAGTCAATGGTTTAGTGCCCATCTATCCGTGAGAGCATGCAGTGTTCTGATTTTGTTTGGTTCTTCTCCATTAGCATAATGTATTCTAAGTTCATTCATGCTGTACAAATGGCAGGACTTCCTATTTTCTTTTTTCTTTTTGGTCTTTTTGAGACAGGGTCTCCCTGTAGCCACAGCTGACCTGGAACTCACTAAGTGGACCAGGCTGGCCTTGAACTCACAGAAATCTGTCTACCTCTGCCTGCCAAGTGCTGGGGTTAAAGGCGTGCGCCACCACACCCGGCTAGGGATCACATGTTACTTCTGACACATGTTGCTTCTGATGTTAAATATTTTGGTAACTTGCTGTCTGATCTGGTTGTGCCAGCTCACTTTCCTTCTAATAGTGGATAGTGTTTTCCTTTTCTCTGTGTTCTGGAGAGCATTTTTGTTCTTCATCGTCATCATAGTATACAAACCAATAAAAGCAAGGTGACTTTTCATTGTAGATTCGTAAACATTTACTCATGACTGGATTTTTGAGCATTGCCTTTCATATTATCCTGGCCACTCATGTCTATTCAGATCTTTGGCCTATTTTTGAAGTCTATTTTTTTTCTTGTCACTGTGCTGTTTGAATTTCTGATTTGGGGGGTATGAAATATTCCAAGATGAATGGTTTGCTGATATTTTCTTCCATCTTGTAAGTTGTATCTGTCTCTGCACTTTGCTTCCTTTTCTTGTGCAGAACGATTTTAGTTTGATACAGTCTCACTCACCTATTTTTGCTTTGGTTGATTATACTTTTGGTATGTGTGCTGGATAGCTTTAGTGTCAACTTGACACACCTGGGTTAAGGGAGCCTCAATTGGGGAATTGCCTCTATTGGACTGGCCTGTGGCCATATCTGTGGGGCCTCTTCTTGATGAGTGATGTGGGAGGGCCCAGCCCACTGTGGGTGGTACCACCCCTGGGCAGGTGGGCCTGTGTTGCATAAGAAAGCAGGCTGAGCATGGGCCAGGGAGCAAGTCAGTAAGCAGCATTCCTCCATGGCCTGTGCTCCAGATCCTGCCTCCAGGTTCCTGCCCTGAGTGCCTAACCTGGGCTCCCTGATGAACCTGCGAGATATAAGCTAAATAAACCCTTTCTTCCCCAAGTTGGTTGTGGTCAGAGTGTTTTGTCACAGCAATGAAGAAACAAACTAGGACAGTATGATAGCCGAAAAATCCTTGTCCAAAGTAATGTTAAGAACTTTCTGCCTGTGTGAGTTTTTTGGGTTTGTTTGTTTTGTTTTGTAGGAATTTATGTTTAGTTTTTAGTACATTCAGCATTCGTATACATTTGAAACAAGGATCCAAATTCACTGTTTTATGTGTGAATATCCAGTTTTCTGAACATGATTCATTGAAGAAAGTCTTTCCCCACTACTTTGTTTTCTTGGCAAACACCAGTTGCCATATATGGTTCATTGTTGTCTGTTCTGTTCCATTTATCTGTGTGTACATTTTTATGCCAGAACCATACTGTTTGATTAATATAACTCAGTTACTGTAATTTGAAATCTGGTAGGAGTATTTCACTCCCTTTGGTGTTATTATTGACCAAAATTAATAAATCCGTTTTGGGACTTTTCCACGTGACTTTTAGAATTGTGTTTTCTATTTTTGTGAAGATGCCATTAGTATTTTAACAGGGATTTTTTTTTTCTGACTGCTTTGGATGATATGAACATGTTGCCAATATTACTCAAATTTGGAACATTAGGATGGCCCTCTTCCATATCCTCCTTCTTCAAAGTTTTATATTATTTTGATGTATAGGGCTTTTACTTTAGTTGAGTTTTTAAATAAACATTTTAGTATTTTTGATGTTATTTTAAGTGGTATTATTTTCTTTGTTTCTTTTATGGATAGCTCATAGTGTATAGAAATACAACTGATTAACAATGTTAACTTCTTATCCTAAACGATACTAATACATTTGTTCATGTTAATAATTTATTAAGATGTTTTTATGAAAAATAAATCTTAGGTGTGATGGCGTATGCCTTTAATCCCAGCACTAGGGAGGTGGAGGCAGGAGGATCTCTGTGAGTTTGAGGCCAGCCTGGTCTCAATAGTGAGTTCCAGGCCACCTGGGGCTACAGGGAGACCCTGTCTCAAAATGACAACAACAATAACAAAAAAAATCTTCTTAATGAATGCCTTTTTTCCTTTAACATTATTGAAACTCATAGGAGCTAGTGGTTGGTGTTATTCGTAATATTTTTCTTCTGTTAATATTTTTCTTCTGTGATTCAAGAATAGTAAACTTGTAAAAATTTACTAATATTTTAATGTGAACAATATTTACATTACTTGAAATGCTAAACTAATGTAGATGTGAAAGTATGAATTTAATATATGGCCTGATTTTGTCTCCTTTGTATTAATGTATTCCCAGGTGTGTTAACCACAGACAGCGATCTCTAGCATTGGGAGTACAGTTCATGTTACTTCGATTGTTGGGTATGTTATTTTTTTAAAAAATTATTAGTGAATATCTACTATTTTGGTTGGTTAGTGTTATTGACTAATTCAGATATGGTGTATATCAAGAAAATAATTAATGATAAAGACTACATAGCTTCCATTGATGAAAGTGATTTTTCATCATTCAAGTCACACCACTACTTACATGAAATGAAAATATAATGACTTTTTACCTACCTGCCTTGTTATCTGTTGTTTCTAACCTTGTTTCACATATAACCTTAAAAGGTATATTATATCTGATTTATTTGAAATATAAATTATGAACTCCAACACAAATTTCTGTTCTCATGGCTTTTTATCACCATTTGTGATTACTGTTTTTCACTAGAAATGAAAAAAAAAAGTTAATACATTTCAACAGTAGCCACTATGTAGATAATATTATATACTAGTTATGAATTTGTGGGAGAATTCATACCACATATAAGAGAATACAGACATAGGAAAATAAAGAGAAAAATAATGAACATAAAATTAATATGCATGAAAACAGAATCTTAGCACATCAGAGATCAGCTAGTCCAGCATCCTCGTTTTTCAGATGAGTAAGTTAAGACCCTGAAAGGTTAAGAGTTTTGACCAGAAGTTATAATTATCTATAGCAGAAATGAGACTGAGAAAATAGTCCTTATCTGTCAAGCGCACTCAACTCTGTCATTCTACAGGGCATAAAACAGAGTAAATACAATGTAAATATTTATCTATTTTTGATAATTTATCTATTTAAGATATTTTGCTTAAATTTCTAATCGTATATTTGAACTTTAACAACTGTAATTTCCTTAACTATACTCATCCCTTAGTTTTCTAGGAGGATTGTTTCTAGGACCCTTACAGAACTGAAGAATCCTTGGATGCTCCAATCCCTGTACAAAGCAGCATGTTATTTCCACACAGTTTATGCATATTCTCCCCTCTCCTAGCCTTCAAATCATCTATAGGTGACTTACAATGCATAAAACAATGTAAATAATTGACACATTACTTAAGGAAGAGTGACCAGATTAAACGGTCTGAACATTCCCAGTATGGATTAATTTTTTTTCACTCTTTAAATCTTCATTTGATTGAATTCACTCATGCAAAACCTATAGAGACAGAGAAGATTATCTATAGGTTGAAGTTCAGTGCCTCCTGGCCTCAGGGAAGT